TTTACTCCACTGAATTTGTGTTTAAGATGATATTCTTTGGGTTTATTCAAACTGCACAGTCAAAGCAGTATTATACATTTCATTTCATTTGTATGCTGTGTTTCTCTCAACTTGGACCCAAGGTGGTTCACGAAAGCTTTAAAATAAGAATAACACAGTACAATTTTAAAACACAATTACAACCATACCAATATAACAAATCAAAAATGTAAAATCCTTAAAAATACTAAGTTAAAGATATAAAATCATTAAAAACATACCATGCTAACACCCCAGTAAGAAGCCTCCCTGGGCGCAATTACTGTATATACTTATGTACACTTGTCCTCCATATCCACAGATTCTTTATACATGGATTCAATCAGCCACAGCTTGAAAATATTCCAAAAAAGATAAAAATTCCAAAAAGCAACCCTTGATTTTGCTATTTTATATAAGGGACATCATTTCACTACACCATTATACTTAATGGGAGTTGAGCATGCATATATTTTGGTATCCACGGGGGTCCTGGAACAGAGCTTTATGAGAAGGATACCAAGGGGTCACTGTATACATTTTAAAAAATGATCCCAAAACCAGGGTTGAATTATGTATGGATCAATGTAAGTACTGTACTTTAGCTCTTCTAAAGAAGGGAACTATCCCCTTTTCTGATTAGAGTGGTGAAAGTGAGAGCTTAGTCCATCCTGGGAGCACTCGTACTCTCTCTGCCATGCTGCCACTTCTGACTTTTTTGAATGCCTGGCTGGGAAAATGATGGCGGTGGCAGCTCTGGAAACTCCCCTCAAAGAAATGTCAAGAGGAATTGGGCTTTGAAGGATTTGAATAAGACACGTGTGTATGTTTGTCAGCTTTTCTGGGTTAAAATCAGGCTAGTTATCACATTAAACTTAAAGGCTATAATCACTGCTAATACAGGCCCGAAACACACAGGCCAAATGAAGTGGATTCCCGCTGCATTTGGGGTGTGGAGTTCAGATGATGCACACCCTGAACACAGCTGGAAGCCGCACCAACATCCAGGAAGAACCAGGCCAAGAAGGAGTGGATAGGATCTGCTCCTTCCAGTAAGCTGTTTCTGCATTGCAGCAGCAGCAGCACAGATTGGGGCCAAGTTCTTGCAGTTGCTGTGTCTCTGGCATGATCGGTGCTGGCATGGCTGTGCACTGCTCTTTCAGGCCCATCTATTTTGGGCCATTTTCTTTCTTTGACTTTTCATCCCTTTTGACGTGTATATATTTTCTTACCCTCACCTGCACCTGGTCACCTCCTTCACACATTGCACAGCCACAATTTACCATACTTCCTCCTCATCCATCCAACCTTTAGGGTGAGCAGAAACATTATGCCTGCTAGAATTTTGTAAGTTCTTTGACATCATTTTCCTCTGCTACATCCTTTAGTAACTTCCTTAAAGCAGAGCTTTGTGAGAAGGTCCAATTAACACTGCATTCTCAAAAATGTAATGTAACAAAAGGATGACTCTGGGATCAAACACATGAATAGGTATTTTTCGACAAGGTACCACTGAAGTGTTCTGGTACCCATATCCAAGAAAATGGTGGGATGCAAGTGTCAACTTTGTTGCACTCAATCACAGTAAATTCCAACACAATGACAGGTTTACTAAAACTCTGTTCTTGCAAAGGCCTAGCATTTGCATTATTTGTACCAAAAATACTTCCTTCTTAAAGCAAACACTAATGTCATGATTTCTACATCCTGAACAACATCATATGAGAACATATCCTACTGAATGTAAATTTCAGTTTTCTCACAGTAGACTATCAATGTCTCCATCACCTCCAAGAGACATTTAATAATTTCCCATTAATAATATTGATAATTCTTTTTAAAAACTGAATTTTATTCACCCACCTCAAATGCATTTTAATTTTTGCGCACAAACAGCAATTGAAAAATATTAATGTTTTATTTGTCTTAGCTTTTTAAACATATAATTATGGCAAAAGCAAGGGAAGACAAAGTAAAGACATAAGAATCATAGGATCATAGAGTTGGAAGGGATCACAAGACCATCTAACCCTTGCCTGAAAGATACCAATCCAACCTCTGTTTTAAGACTTCCAAATTTAGATAATGGGAATACCATACTTTTAATTTAGCTAACACTTGAAGCTCAAGAGTATTATCCATCACAATTTGATTGACACAAAGTAAAAAACAAAAATTACCTGAATATTCTGCAATAGTTAAAAACAGAAAAGGAAAGAGACCAGAAAATACTGACTGGAAGGTTAAACAATTATATAGCATTTTTTTATTTATGATTGTAGCAAGTTTAAAATCAGAAGATCAAGCACATGCCCAGTCTTGTCAGCTCCCCAGTGAGAGTTAATTGCTTGTTTTCCTAAATCTGCAGGGAAAGTACAAGAATGCCTGCGCTGCAGGAGTACTGAGATGTAAAGAAAGTATTGCATTTTCTTCTAACACATTTCCACAATTAGAAAGAGAGTAATTCAACTTTAAGCTTCCATAAATGTAATATTGTACATAAAACACAGCATTCCAACTATGTAGTGTCATGCACCTGCTCTGAATTTACTTTGCTGTTCATTTCATTTAAAAACACATATACCTACACACACATTTTCTCGCTGACCAGAATCTGCATACTCTTCTGGATAATACTAAGGGGAAAATGTAGTGTATGTGAACAGTGTCTACCCTCTTAAATGGTGCACACCTAAAGCTCATAAGAGAATGGTCACCAGTCCCCTGGATAATTACTGCTAGCCCTGCTATATACCATTCATGGCCTCAAAAAGATTACTTATAGATGGACCACAAAACATATTCCAGGTACCAGTGTTAGGTATGCAGAAAAATACAATAAAATTCTAAATCCACAAGACAATGATACCTTTATTGAGCCAATTAAAAAAGCACAAAATACATCATGCAAGCTTTTGAAGCTCCATTGGATTCTTATCAAGCAAAGGTGTTAAAAATCATAAGGAGAATAAAAAATGACAATGTTAGAGTCACAGGTCTATATTTTATCTTAAGATGTTCTTCTGTTGTCAATTAAGATGTTCTAGAACAGGGGTAGGCAACCTTTCCCCTTTAAGGGCCGAGGGACTTCAGCTCCCAGAATCCCAGGAGCTATTGGCCAACATGGGACTATTGGCCAACATGGCTGAGGCTTCTGGGAGCTGAAGTCCCTCGGCCCTTAAAGGGGAAAGGTTGCCTACCCCTGTTCTAGAGGGATATCAATGCAGGTAGAGGCCACTCTTCTTAAATGGACCACTACTGCCAGAATCACCCAAGTACCATGTCTTCTTTTCCAAACTCTGCAGTATATTGCTGAATATTTCAGTGGGGGTTACTGTGACAACATAGTCATTTTTATTTTAATTATTTTATTTAATAGGTTCAGAACAGGAAACATATCTCTAAATTTAAAATATTCTCATTTATTTGCCTGGAGAATGTTCTCCATCTACTATTTTATTTTATTTTTAAAAATTCCTATATAGGAGTGGGGGAACGATTTCCATTTACATGACAGTGGTTCTATCAACAGCATTATTTGATTATGCTGAAAGTGTGCTTTTCCATTATGTACAATACGCATCTCACCAATACACCAAAAGAAAGGAGTGATACCTAAAGCAAGAGTGAATATTTCTCAGTTTTCAATGAGTATTTCTTGGTTTCTGTGAGAAAATTAAGAGGAATAAGTAGTTCATTTTCGTGTCTGATCCACATACATACAAACAACAACAACAACAACAACAACAACAACAGAGATATGGAAAAGGATGTGATTACTTGATGCTATATTGAAGTAAAAATACAGAGTAACAACAAGCATTTTTTAAAACAAAAACTAGACTTTATTCTATTTCTCACTAAAACCTGGCAACAAATATAGGCAACAAACCAATTGGTCACAGATTGAAAACAGTAAATATAAATTCCAATCCCCATGAAAGGGAACAAATGGAATGCAGCAACAACAAAACTATTGCATTAACTTCCCATGCAAGCAAAACAATGTTCAAAATTCCACAACAAAGACCTTTATCATATATGGAAAGAGAAATGTCAGATGTCCAAGCTGGGTTCAGGAAAGTAAGAGGCACTATGGATCATATTGAAATCATATGTTTGATAATGGAACATATAAAAGAATTTCAAAAGAAAATTAGCCTGCCTTTTATAAACAAAGCATATATAGCAAAGCCTTTGATTGCATAGATCATGAAAAGCTATAGATCACTCTTCAAGAAATGGAGATACAATGACATTTTGTTGTACTGATGCATAACCTGTAGCTAGGACAAGAGGCTATTGCCAGGACAGAATATGGAGAAAATGAATAGTTTCCAATTGACAAAGAGGTCAGGCAAGGCTCCATTTTATCATACTTTTTGTTTAACCTGTATGCCAAAAACATCATACATAAAGCAGGATTAAATGTGGAAGAAGGAGGTATGAAAATTGGAGGCAGGAACACCACTGATCCTTAGATCCTTAGATACACAGATGACACCATACTACTAACAGAAAATACCAAAGACTGGGAACAATTATTGAAGAAAGCCAAGAAAGAAAGTGCAAAGGCAGGTTTACTGCTGAACATTAAGAAAACAAAATTAAAACAATACCTACAGAGAATTTTGATAGCCTTAAAGTGGATGATGAAGACATCAATATCAATAGTTCAAGATTTTTCATACCTGGGGTTGATCATTAATCAGAGAGAAGATTGCAGTCATGAAAGCAGAAGATTAGAACTTGTAAGGGCAACTATGAAGGAACTAGACAAGATCCTGAAATGTAAAAATATATATTTAAATGACTAAAATTAGGATAGTACAGGCCATCGTATTTTCCATCTATATATATGGGTGTGAAAGTTGGACAGTGAAGAAAGATGATAGGAAGAAAATCAACTCTGAGATATGGTGCTGGAGAACAGTTCTGGGGATACCATGAACTGCTAAAAAGACAAATAAATGGGTCCTAGAGCCAGTGTGGCATAGTGGTTTGAGTGTTCTACTGCAAGTATGGAGACCAGGGTTCAATTCACAGCTTGGCCATGTAAACCCACTGGGTGACCTAGGGCAAGTCACACTCGGTCAACTTCTGGGGAAGGCAATGGCAAACCCCCTCTGAGAAAACCCCATGTTAGGTTCACCTTAGGATCACCATAAATTGGAAATGACTTGAAAGCCCAAAACACAGAAAGAGATAGAGAGCAAATCAAGCCTGAACTCTCCTTAGAAGCCAGGATGAGATGTACTTTGGCCATAGGATGAGAAGACAGAGCTCACTAGAAAAAACAATAATAGTTGGTAATATGGAGGGCAGTTGGAAGAGAAGAAGACCACACTCTACATGGATAGCCCCAATCAAAAAAGACATGGCCATGACTCTGCAGGACATAAACAAGACTGCTGAAGATAGGGTAATGTGGAGGTCTCTCATTCATGGGGTTGCCATACGTTGAAGTTGACTTGAAGGTAGTTAACAACAACAACAATAATGAATAAAGTTACGATACATAAAACATTTAAGTTCATTATGACAATTTGTAAACCAGAGAAGTTAAGGTGCCAGCTATTCTGCCCTGTGGCACAAAGGAAGCTGGCACAACACATCAAGCCAAGGATAATGGCATGTGAAAAAATAATGTGGGAGAGATTACATTCTCTAGTTTGGAGGATAAACTACAATACTTTAAAGAACATGTAAATATTGCCGACATTTGCAACATCATGTTCTGTTTCCCCTCTCTCTCTTTCCTGGTAACATCTAGTAGTTGAGCAACATGTGTTGTGTGATATCTTTTTGTGAGTTTCCCATTCCTGCAATCCATAGCCACTGGGTATGGGTGGAGAAATTCATAATATACAGGTGCAACCTCATTCATTTTGGTTTACTAGATATTGTGCGTGCGGGGGTGAGGTGGGGAGAAAATGAAACTTTACGCATCTGCTTTTCATGACAAACCCCAGACTGTAATATCTGAATAACATCTGTAATTGGTAGTGCTTTGTACAGTTTGATGTGCTTTTTCTATTGCTTCTATGACTGAAAAGATTTAAAAAATCAGTAAGCTTCCCGTTCAAAAAAAGCAAATTACTTTGTTCAGTTCTTGGTTGAGTGCAGGTAAGTTATCCATGATGTTCTAAATCCTGATGCAGAATAAGGTTATTAATCTCAAAGAGCAACACAGCAATCTATAGCCAATAACTAGCTACCAAGGACAGCTCTACATGTATGATTTAAATATTTCATTCATGTTAGTTTGGATACTGAACAAACTAACAAGCTTTCCAAACCATTTTATATTTTAAAATGTCACAACCACAGTATAACAAGGGGAGAAACATGTTTAACTATTATAATTTTCAATTTAACTATCAGTACAGGCAAGGATTCTGTAGGTGACCATGCATGATATAACCCAGGGATCGGCAACCTACGTCCAGTGGGCCGCACCCGGCCCGCTGACCCCCACCGACTGGCCCCCGCCGATCCCACCACTGCTGCACACGTCATGGCCACCATTTTGTTTGCCAAAATGGCATCCGTGACTCGTTTGCACATGCGCAGTACTCCTGCGCATGCACAAACGAGCCGCAGCCGCCATTTTGGCAAACAAAATGGAGGCCGTGACACGCGCAGCGGAAGCGCTCGTAGCAGCAGTGGGGATTGGCGGCAGTGGCAGCAGCAGTTGGTGGGGGATGCACGCGCGCACATGAGCGCACGCACCGCCATTCCCCCCCAGCCCAGCGGAAGACCTGGGAACCAGCAGCTGGCCCCGGGTAAGTAAACCTTGCCGACCCCCGATATAACCCCTAATTACAAAGATGGATGTTTGAATCCTTGCTCGACCACAGAAACATACTGGGTGATCTTGGGCAAGTCACACTATCGATGCCTCAGAGGAAGGCAATAGCAAATCCCTTCTGAATAAATCTTGTGAAGAAGGCCCCATAACAGGTTCAACTCAGGTTCAGCATTGCAAAAGGAAATACCCAAGACTTCCTTGTGCAGCATCCCACTAACCAAGTAGTGCAGTCGGGACAAGGGGAGAGGTTCAACCAAGAACCTCTAAGCTGTTGTTGCACAGCTAGACAGAAAATGGGGACAATGGAGCATCTTCCATTACACAGAAACAATGACTTAAATACACTGTTGGAGACTTACACTTTGACACTGTGTTAATTTGATTTAGGCCACAGCATGCTGATATTAGGAAGGCATGTGGTGAAAGTTTCAGTATGCACACCATGACCCGAGAAAATATGTAGAAATTAGAGAGATTATTCTGAAATATTCTTAGACACCACCAATATAAGTATTATGGTAGCTACAGAAGACATGCCCAAAAAGAAAACCTTAAACATTTTGGGTGTATTAATGGTGAGGCAATGTTGTAAGTAGTCTTTACATCTCAGCAGCTATTAACACTTTTGCCAAAGATAACTATATGCCAATGAAAAATGTAGATTGCTAAATAGATTAGAATTACAAAATAAAAATAAAAATTAAGGAACTACTGGGGAAAGGAACCCTTATGATCATGTTTATACTCTGATGCATATTTAATCAGTTATCTTAAATATTCTGAAAAATACAGTGTACAGTATCTTGCAGGGTGCAACTCATATTTTAAAAATAGATTCCTTTGAAGAAAGCAAAAGTGTAGTGCAGAAAGATATACCATATCTTTTTTACTATAAGTCAAAAAATTATGCCCAACAATTGACCCTAAAATCCTGGGTCGACTTACATATGCATCAATACAGTAATACTGCTTAGAAAGGTCCTGAAAAAAGCACCACCCCATGTGCCTTGGCAGTTATTTCTGAAAGAACCGTGGCAGAAGTGAATGTGTTCAAACCTTCTCTCCCCATCCTCCAGATCTCTCTCCCCCACCAAACACCCCATTGAACTCCACTTCCTTCCCTTCCCAATCTGATGTTAAATCCTTCTCTTCCAGTACCAAGTAAATGTTGATAGGTGGTCAGGAGAGGTCCAGAGAAGGAGAAGGAGGGAAGGAAATGGTATTTTCTCCTTTAGATCCTTTGTTACATGCCTCTATGTTTTACCCTTGACTTAACCACAGGTCATATAAAAATCTATAATTTTGGCCCCAAAACCTGCCCTCGACTTATATATGAAGTCAACTTGTACATGAGTTTATACAGTATGTTCCAGTGACTGGATTAAGGTTGACATTATACTTTACAAAGAACATAAGGCCAGCACTGATGCTGGCAGTTGTGCTTGCTCTTTGCATCAGTGTTCCCCACAACATGTCAAAAAATTGATTACAGCTTTTTCATTTTTCTCTTCTGCCCTTTTGCTGCTGTATGTACTTCAAAGCTCTGCCTGATATTTGCTTTTCTCTGAAAAGCTTCCTGATACCTGCTGGCTAGATAGGGACTGCAACATATTAAGTTTTAATTCTCCAGGCCTTGCTCTAAGCTTGTGGGATAACAGCTATAAGGAATATGTGCAGAAGCCTTTCTTCTTGCTCTAATTAGATCATTGTTTCCAGATTCTTTCCTGAATCTGGACCTCCAGTAAAACTCAGGACTGAAGCAGATAGCCAAGAAGGAGCCGCCTCCGGCCTCTCCGGACCAGATCACACCAGGACTGTGGTGATCATATGGCCTTTCCAAAGTGAGTTGCTGCTGCAGTCCCAAACTGCAAATTAAATCAGCTCCTTTTTGAGGCTGGGTTTTCCCGGCTTGGCACAACCTCGGAGCAGCTTCTGGCTGCTTTGGCAGTATGCCTCCAAGGCAGCTGGAAGCCACCTTATTTGGCCCATATGTTTTGGGCCAAAGTCTCTCATATTTAGCACTTCTGATACCATGTCATTACAGAAAATAAATGAGGAAGAATAGAAAATTAGAAAAGAATACTCCATTATAGCAACTGGGTCAATTACTTTCCATTTTCAGAAAAGATGTACTGCAGCTACTATCTTCCAGGCTCTGTAAGGGATTGCTGAAACTATTTCAAAACAGTAGTTACAGATGCTAGAGTCTCAGTAAGGTTATCATCATATTTTCTTTTTCTTTTCTTTTTTTGAGAGGAAACTGTAAAGTACGGTATATAGTTAGAAAAACTCAGGTCTGCTTCAGATGTTTCAAAATGTATTCACTACTGTCTACTGTCTATGAGGACAATGACAATTTTTTTAAAAAAGCAATGGAAATAAAATCACATATATACCCCCAATATGAAACCTAGCACCAGCTGCATATATATGGCATCATCACTCTTCATACTTAAAGGTTCAAATTAGATTCAAATCATGCTTTAAACAAGCTTTGTTTCAGTTCCCTTGTAATGGAAATATAAAATTTACATTTGCAGAATGAAGAGGGTCACAGGTAATTTAGCTCTACTATAGGGACACTTTAATAAGAACTATTGAAGAAGTAATGATGTGAACAAAGCATAAATTCTGTTATTTAACATACAAACAGGGAAACACCTATCCACCCCATCCCATCATCAAGTTTTCTCAACCAGAAAATTATGGCTCTGAAAAGGAAAGGTTCCTGTTTATTTAGAGACCTTGCACACAAGAAAGTTTGTTGATTTTTAGGGGTTCCTGCCCACATGAAGAGCCTCCACCTGAACAAAACCCTCTCCTCTCTCTTCTTCAAATACATCATTTTCCACATGACAATGGTTGTGACAGAGGGAGTGGGCTAGGAGCTTCCATGGTCCTGTGTTGAACAAACTGTGACAAATAACATTTGGACAGGGCTCCAATTAACGGGCACAGTAACAATATCTGTATAATCAGATTTTGAGCCTTTTTTAATAAAGAAAATCATTTTTCTTAAGTTTACAACGCCATATAATACCAATAATATGCTCCTAATAGGGCCAGACACGTTAGAGGAATCCATGGGGATAGGTGAGTAAGAAATAAACATCATCACCATCATCATCAAATCACAGTCAGAAATAAATGGCTAGCTAATAAAATGACGGGGGAAGAGCTTCAGCAGAAAAGAAATCTAAATAAATAATACAGACTGCAATGCTGACTCAAATCTCTCCAGCC